TTGCTGTGGCCGTTGGTGCCGCGAATGTAGGAGCCGCTGGCACGCACGTTCGAGATTGCCACGCCAATTCCACCGGCAGACTTGGAGATGGAAGCGCACTGCTTCCTTGGTCTCTCGTAGTCTTGGAAGGAAGAAAGGATCCTTTCACTAGGTTTGGCATCACATCACCGAATCTTAGAGCCCTGAAGATGGACTCCAAGTTTCAGGGTGTCGTAGATACCTTCGATGCTGTCATCCTGCAACTTCAGCAGAAAGCACGAGGACATCTGTGGCTTCGGAGTCCCAGCATTGAAGAGGGTCGGCGTCGCATGGGTGAAGAACTTCCGCGACATCAAGTCATACCTTGCTGCAGGAGTTGCGCGACTCACGCGGTGGGGCAGGGGATGACACACTCAAGGCCCTCAAGGCATCGCTGCTGCTACTTAGCCTGGCTGCGTCTCCAGTGCCCCTTCGAGGTCCCCCATGTGGATGCCGCAGGCCGCGCGCATGATCATGTGCTGCGGCCTCTCCACGATCTTGCCATGCACACGTAAGAGGTAGGACTTCTCCAGGGTCTTGAATCCGAAATAGTCGTAGCCCAAGTCCCTCTTGTAGTCGATGGCTTGGTCCAAAGCCTCCGCGTTGGCCTGGATGAACTCCCAAACGTCCTCAGCCAACAGAGCCGCAGGCCTGCCCTGCTTGTCGATGTAGTCGCGCAAGATCTTGCATGTCTCATAGAAAGAATCGGATGTGTTCTTATGCAGGTTCGACACAGCAATGCGTGCTGCCAAAGTGGAGAAGTCCGGGTGCTTCTGTGACATGTATGCACATGTCTCGGCAGCCAAGGTGTCCACCTCCGACGTGGAGATGCCGTTGTAGAAGCCTTCCACTACCTTCTGCGTAACGGGCACGGGGTCCACGAAGCGGGAGTCCAAGCCATCGCAGAGATTCTTGATGCGGCGCGTGATGGCATCGAACTTCACCTCCTGACTCTGTCCGTCCCTCTTGACCACGTACATCGGCGCCATGGCACAGGGAACTGTGAGAGTCGGCGAAGGATGCAGAGTTTTACAGAATAGTTTCCCAGGTGGGCCAGCAAAAATGCCTCACGAAACAGCAACTTCGCAAAGAAGCCAACTTGGAACAGATTCATTCCATCCATCGAAGCGTGCAATTCGTTACAGCGGCAGTGCGGGTTAAGACTTCATTGCTTAGGGCTTAGGAATTTGAGCGCCTGAATTTTCCTGCACATGGTTGTGTCTCCACGCGTGCCAAGGCGCCTTTGACTCAAGAATTTTAGCCCCCTCGGGGAATCTGGGGCACATTCTTATCTCGAAGTCGTTTTGAACCGAACGGGCATCCAGAAAAACACCCGATTTCAGAATCCGAGACCTTATCTTATCAAGGAGCTTGGGGACGAGCTGGAGACCTGCGAGCGAGACTATGAGCCCTCAGAGCCTTAGCTTTAGCAGGGGCTGTTCTCAAGCTGGAGACCTCAGAAACCTCGAATTAAGAACCTGAGGGCTCTCAGAGATGAATGCTTTGGCATGGTGGTTCTTCAGACTCCTGAATGCCTGTGGCCCCCCTGGTTCAAACCCTAGCTAAGAATGTGCTAAGAATCTGTGCTCCCCTGAGCTAGCACTAGCAGATTCTTAAGCAGTGCTTTCGCTGTGCCAAATGCATGCCTGCCTCTCCCCATGCACTCTGCTGCCCTGGCCTCTGAAGATTGTGGTTGCTGGAAGATCTCCAGTAGATGCTCTTCTGGACATGGTCATAGATCACACCCCACTGGGTGTGGTCCTTGAGGTTTCAAGTTGCACACGCAGCCGATGGGGACAAAGGGGACAAGATGAGCCCCGGGCACCCGAGCCTTCGCCAGAATGTTTACCGGAGTCTGTGCCAAGCTGAAGGCCCATGGGCACCGTGACCGTATTCAGCACATGCACAGCTTGCATGACTGCCTCCTGGAGCCGGCATCAAGAACCCATCTGCTGGAAACTCTTGGGTCAGCTTGTGGGTTCTGCCTGGTAGGACTTCGGGACCGGCATCCCCCTTTTCACCTGGAAGATTCGTTGGAAGCGGTCTTCCGGATACCATGCGCCGGGCATGGCCACTGCCTCGGCAAACTTCCATGGCATCACGGGGAGCCCCTTCAGGCCCTAAGCTTAGGCAAGCAGGCTCCTGACGGTTCTAGCGAGGCCTTCCTTCCACTTCAGGTGCTGGATTGCCTCTGAAAGCAGGGGCACAGGGCCTTTTCTTGATTGGGATTCCCTCAGAAGATGCCTTTAGCTGCCAGTCGAAGGGAGGCTCGTTCGTCATAATGCCGAAGGTACTGTCGCCATCATTCCGATCCTCTTGCTCGGAGTCTCGCATGCGCACCTCCGATGCTGAGACCAGTCAAGACGGCCTCTCGGGTGACCATCTCGCCTCACAGGATCAATGTCTGGCATCCCGATTCGCCCACGTGCCGTTGGGTCATTGGGTCGCTGGCCATCCAGGAATTCCACCACCAGCCCCTTTCCCGTCGCATCTCTGAGAACCCAGTGTAGGCCTCACTCAGTCTGCTCTCTTCCTGAACTCTCCCCCTATCCTCTCCGACGGTCCAAGGCACATCACGTCGCAAAACGTGTTTGGAAACTCTCCATTCGTTCGTACTTGGATGCTGGCGAGTTACCACCAACAAGGGCAAACTCGGTAAACCTGGGCATGGTCGGCTAGGGCGAGGTTCTCAAAACTACTTCAGCTTCTTGCAGCTGACTGCAAGCGTGAAGCTGGACGGACTTCAGGCCTTCCTGTATCTCGTCAACGGTCGCAAATCCTTCCAGAGCCCACCGGCAAAGAAGGATAGCCTCCATGTTGTCCTTCCCGGCAGCAGCGTCCGGGTACTTGCTTCCCAGCAACGTCTGCGCATCACAGCTGAGACCCGCATCATTCCTTTCAAGGATACGGGGAATGCAATGGCCCCCCACATCTGCCGGGTATGCGACGAAACCTGCGACACCTGCACCTGCAGCATTACGAGCATGTATGGCTGCGGCCAAGGATCATGCCTCCAAAAAGATAATTTTCCTGGCAGCGCAGAGTTCACACGACTCAGGAAGAGTACGAACATCATCACCTCTTGCAGGCGCCTCAATAACTCCCAGGATTGTAGCTGCGAAACCCAGGTAGCCATACTTGGAAGATCGAAGCCCAGGTAAGCCCGCAGGCACGGCCAAGAGAGACCAGCCTAGCGAAACTGTCGCGAGTCTGTGGGAGACTTGAGTCGTTGAGTACTACCGACCTGTTGGCATCTCCAGAATACTTCCAGAATTGGCAGATCGTGCCGGCCTAGTCTCGGGATGCTTCCCAAGTCCATCGTCCGAACAGAGATGCCGTAGTCATTGTTCATGACAAAGTTTGAGCATGCCTTCGCTGGATTCGAGGCTCGTGGCAGAGGTGGAGCCAGAGCCTTGTTTAGACGAGTCGCCGAGGATCCGAGAAGTAAAGAGGCGAAGCCGAGCGAAAAGAGGGCCGTCGCCATTGCTCGGCTTGACTGAGGGCTTCCCTCTACTGCGAAGCTCCGAACAGCGGCGGAATCAGATGTGCAGCCAAGGACAGTCCACCGGAGTGCGGGCAAGTCATTCCCAACATCTCAGCCAAGGATCGGCTCCATCATGAAGTCCAGCCTGTCTGAACCGACACAGCCCGGTATGCATCTGTGTCGTGGATATTCCAGACATGTCGTCGCGGCTGCATGTTCACGAAACTAGACTGGCGTCGATCCAGTGTACAGTATACATGCTGGACTTTGTTTCACCCTTCCCTGCCACATAATGTAACACTGCACGCCATCTATGTGCCGATATCATGCGATCATTTGGTAATTTAAATGCAAGCGGTAACATTGCACAGTATTGTCCCACTGCTCAATAAGCCCGCGGCAGGAAAAAGTGCTGCGCGTTCCGGCTCACGAGGTCGGTTCGGGTGGCTGAGTGGACTGCATCATGCCAGATGACCTGCTGCATAATTACTTCTTGCCCAAAGCACTCATTCGAAACAGTAGTGCTACAGGAGGAGGAGGAGGAGGCGGAGGAGGAGGACCATCACTGTTCGTACGACGAGAATGACACAGATGGCGATGACAAGCTTCTAGTGCTGGCAAGTGGGGACGCATCCTTGTTTGTTCGCGTGCCTCCTGCGCATTTACCGTTTTGCAGGAGTTGTTGCAAACTATCTCTAGTGTTACAAACACTCCCCATGCAGCCAGACTGCAAAGGCGTACAGGCACATCACCGGCAGCAGAAGCACTACCTCAGGCTGAGGGTATCACCATGTGTCTGGATTTCAGATGTGCCCGGCAAGGACACGGCTCCGAGGCCAGAACGAATTGCACCTGCGCGCAAATGCGACAGCACATGCACTGCTTTGGCGCATGCTGTTGTGTCCAAGCTGCCCAGAACAGAAAGGTCAACAGCAACCCTTTCAAACCTTGGTTGGTTGCAGCCGTCTCTTGCGCGGTGTGATTGATGCTGACACGACATGGCATGTCCCCCTCAGCTCTGCACCATGCCCGACTGCAGTCTCCATCTGAGCGACGACGGTTGGTAGCAATCCATACCTGTGCAATCAGAGTTTGCCAAAGCTGAAGTGGCTCTTCTTGAAATAACATGAAATAGCCATGAGATAACTGCACGACCGATTCACTGGAGCAATGGGTCCGGCAGCCAATCCGAGGAACGCCTGCAGAGGTGCGCTGACTCTAAACGTCGACTCTAAACCACATAAGCTGCAAGCCAAGGGGTGTCATTCGTCTATGAACACAACTCCGCCCATGCTGGAATTTTGCAACGTTCACTCTCGCTCGCGCCGAAGCAAGGTCCGTAAGAGCTCAGTGCTCGTCAGCGTGCCAGCAGCTCGATTCAGCACTGGCTCCTGCAACGGAATGGTGAGAGCTTTTGAGTCTCGAGGCCTGCGCTTTCTTTTGCCGAGGCTCTGCTGGAGGTAGCTCGATGCTGCTCTCCTCAAAACGCACACACACACAAGAACAATAGAGAGAGAGAGAGAGAGAGCCGCAAGGGCCGCGGTTGCGGAAGTTTTCGTTTCAAAAACGCACACTCGCTCGGGCCCTGGGCCTGGCAGGAAGCCAAGACGGCACAGAAGAAGTCATCGACCCCAGCGCCTGTCCTCACAGGAGGCCCAGAACAGTGTTGCGGAGAGCTTTTCATGCGCACTGACGCGCACAAAAGCGACCGGCCGCTCAGCTGCAGCCAAGGGGCATGGCACTGCACATCCTAAACTCAGCCCGGGCCATCTTGGCCACGTGTCCGAGCAAGCGATCTGCCGTTCGGCAATCCGGTGCCGAAAGGCGGTCCTTAGAGGAAAATGTTTGACAGAAGCTGGGAATGGACTTATACCGGTGGCCCCAGACCACTTGGAGGCCACAGAGCCCCAGGATGGTTCCAGGGCGGACGACCTGTTTTTTCGCGTGTCTATGGACTATGGCTCCGTATGAGATCGCGGAGGTCCGGGGCCTCAGAAGCCTCCGAGAGCAGCCGCTGTGCTTCACTTGGAGCTTGAGCTTCGGTGGCATCCACGGCAACGACCACCACCTGGGCGGCCTTCAAATAGCCTCCCAAAGCCTGAGGCTGGGAGCTTGCAGCAACATGGGGGCGTGCGGCTGACACACGTTGCCTGCTGGCGGCTGAAGCCCGAGGGCTCCCAGATGCGCAATCGACCCCGTGTGCGGAGTGGCGTGCTCCGCATGCCCACCCGAACTACGCGCATGTCCGTGCCCAGGCTGGGAACCTGGCGACAGACCCTTGAAAAAGCACCATCTTAATCTAAATAGCTCTTGCATGGCCTCGCACCTTGTCCAACCGATCGGGCACACTCCCGGTGCAGAAGCGATGCACCAGCCAGGTTTTCCCGCTGCGAGGGCCTCCTATGACAAGAAGTCCAGCTTGCCAGTCGTGTGCACCGGTGTCCGTCTCTGGGTCGCCTCAGGGCGGCACTTTGTGAAAATTTGCCCTCACCGTCAATAACTGAATTTTGCTGCAGGGCACCGTCCAGGCGGAGACCTGCAGCGGGCGGCAGCCGCCGTGCCAGTCGGCAAAGAGACGGTGCAGAGGGGCGAACGTCCAACTCCACCTCCAGGCATCCGAACAAACATGCACGCGCAGGTGACATCAATGCACATTATGTAAATCTAGCGACGACGGGTCGATCAGGAAAGCGCTGCAGAAAGCCTCGGGCATTTAGAAGACTGCAGTGCAAGCGTGCGCTCTGCCGACTGCACCGGGCCGAGTGCAGGCTCGCCAGAGCTCCTCGTGATCGAGCTCCGACTTCAAAGAGGAGCCCGCCTCCGGGATCGCTCGAAGAACAGCGTGCACTCGCACTTGGGGGGATGAGGCAGGATTTCGAATTTAGAAAAGGATTAAATTCAAATTTATTCCCCTCCCGGGCGGGGCGTAGACCTCGCGTCCAGATGGCTTAAATTCGTATTTAAGCCTCTGTACCAAGCAGCGGCCACCAGTCGAGCGCCACGGGAAGGATTTAAATTCGATTTTATGCCTTTCTCTCGTTTAGGGTTTTAAGCCATAGGCCATCGACGAAGATTTGTCTAGGGAAAGGTCTGGCTATCTAGGGGTTAAAGGGTCCAGGATTCAAGGGAAAGCCAGGGGCAGTAAAGGGCAGAACAAAACAGTAAAAGGCAGTAAAGGGCAGTAGAAGGCTGTAAGAAGGTTAGCAAAGGGCAGTAAAGGGCAGTAAAGGACAGAAAAAGGCAGTAAAGGGCAGTAAAAGGCAGTAAAGGGTAGCAAAGGCAGTAAAAGGCAGTAGAAGGCAGTAAGGGCAGCAAAAGGCAGTAAAAAAGGTTAGCAAAGGGCAGTAAAGGGCAGTAAAGGACAGTAAAAGGCAGTAAAGGGCAGTAAAAGGCAGCAAAGGCAGTAAAAGGTACTTCAGCTATTTGCTGCCAGTCGCCCCTTGGACGGCCCTTTCGAGGGCGGCTGTCTTCCTCTACCGGAACGAGGGCCATATCGACTCAAAATAGCTGGAAAACGTGGATATCTGCACAGACACCTATCCATACATAGATCCAAGGATACCTGTAAAGAAGTACAAAGAAGATCCATAGGTACATACGCAAACACGTTAAGTTTGAATGTCCTGAGGAAACCTTAAACCTTGTCGAATCCAAATAGTATAAGCCCTGCTAAGGCGGAACAATGGAAGGTTTAAATTCGAATTTACCCCCTGCAAGGACCAAAGCCTGAGCATTTTTATTCGAATTTAAGCCCTACGGCGAAGACAACTTGCAGCTTTTAATTTGGATCTAAGCTGCAGTCGGCGTTGCCGGATTAAATTCGAATAAAAACCCTTGCGTTGGAAAGGGGCTTTAAATCCGAACTTAAGACCCCGAAACCCATGGGAGATTAAATCAAAATCATGCTCCCTCCATACCGGGACCAAATCCAATGTGGAATTAAATTCGAATTTATGCCGTCGCCACCGTAAAGCATTAAATTCGAATCGAAGCCCTCCAGCCGGGCACCCGACCCCCACGCAGAAAAGGCATAAATTCGAATTTAAATCCACATTGAATCTGAAACTCTGCCATAATATGCCATAATCGCACTTGGGGCGCACTTGGGCGCCTCGCGAGCAAGACGCACCGCGCTTGGACAGGTCAGAAAGCCCAGGCCAAGAACCAGCACAAAGCCTGGCAGGGCAGAGCAAGGGCTAGGCCCGGCAGGGCTCGGAGTGAAGTGCGGATGGCTCGCGAGGTCTCCTAAAGCCGCCAAGCAACTTGCCACCTGACTGGCATCGGTCTTCTCCGGCTCGCAGCGAACGGTGAAGGCTTCGCTCGCAGCCATGAGGCAAGCAAACTCGTGGCCATGAGTCTCGGCAATGTCTTCCTGCTCTGCAGTTCTTTGCGACAGTTGGTGGTCGCCGCCGGCTGTACAAACTGGCAATCGTCGATCTCCCACGCTCTGTGGGAAAGGATGCCCACTTGCAAGTCTGCATGCTACACCTCGCCTTTGAAACAGTTCATCGAGCCTGGCGGCCAACACTCTTGCGAGCATGCTGCAGCATGTGGTTCAGTTGGGGTACTCGCCTACTTGCTGCACGATGCCATGAAAGCATGTGCACTAGCACCCACCGCAATCTGCTGCATACCCTTGGCCCTCGGCTTTGCCGGCCCAATGGTTCCGGAAACCCCCTGAGCCCCTCGCTTTCGCTGTGCCAGACTACATGAATGCCAGAAGGCCTAAAACGTTCATGACCTCCACTTATCCTGCCCATGTGGGCTCCGTCTTTCAACTGCTTCGCTGCTGTCTGCCAACCCAAGCAGTTGTGCACCCGTTCTTCTCTCGTGCTCACACCGGCAAGTTGCAGGCAGCACTCCAAACAAGCCAAGACTACACGACCAGCAATGGCTCATGTTTATGCATGTTCTTCCTTCCACACAGTCAGACCAGAGGAGCAGTCGCACCACCCACAGACTGCCCCTCTCTCTCTCCCGCTCTCTTGTCTACCTTGCCGGCCTCCAGAAAACGTTGACGGGGATTCTTACCGGCAGTCGGTGACCGTCCTGGTCTGCTCCCATCCTCGCCTACCTCTGAAACGCAAAGCCCTCCAAGGACCGCGCAATCGAGCGAGGCTTCTGCTGGCTTGGTGCTTGGGTTTTCTCGCCATCGTCGCCTAACAGCGAAAACCGCAGCACGCTTTCTTCATCTTCTTGTAAGCAGTGGCTGAGCCCGAAACCGCTTGCCAACAAAGGCGTCGTCAGCGCCTTCGGACCCCACTCCAAGCACAAGTCCCTTTCTGTCCACAGACATTCGTGGCCATGCGACGGCTGCCGGCCTCTTTGAGTGAGACTGCTTGGCCTCCAGCCTGACAACTGCACAATTGGGAGCATCTCTCCAACTTGGCAGGCAGCCCATCCTTTTCGTTGGGCCTTGGCCGTTGGATCATCGCCCCTGTCGTAGACTCCTTCGAGCATGTCCTTGCAGCTCCGGGGAGTGGTACAACAGGTACCACAAGAACCGCCGCACATGCAGATGCCTGTGTCAGACGGCAGTCTTGTAGCTGGAGCGCATCCTTACGACGCTGCAGACCCTTGAGGACCTTTTCATTTGACACCAGTGGATGCCGGTAATCATTAGTAGCAGGCTTCCCCCGAAGAGAGGACGACCGATGGGCCGTTCTCGATAAGAACCTGCAACACTGATCAACGCCGCGTGCCTGCATAGCAACGTCTGCAAACCCGATGTTCAGACAAAGTGCGAAGCTGGGCGAGTTCTGCAAGGCCGCTCGACGCTCTGCAACATGCTTGACGACCTCCACAAGCCGACGTGTGCCCACGAGCGGAAGCTTGGGCAAGCAGAGCCGCACTCCGATCTTCACAAGGAGCTATGGAAGACGGGTTCCAGGCAGCACCCAAGTTTTCAACAAAACAGATTTTGTAACTCAAGTAGCTACCAGTGTCAAGAAGATCAGCCAGCTTCAGTCTTGAAATTCGATCCCGCACCAGAGCCGACTCCGGCCCATGAAATAGAGCAAGACTGACGCCTCTCCACACCCACGACACCTGCATCTCGTGAGGGACCGGTAGCGGAGCACGGAAACCGCGTGCAAGGTGCAATAGCCGCTCCGTAGTTCGGATCTCGGCATAAAGTTGCGACATGCAAAGCTCGCTGCTGCACTACATAGAAGCAAAGAGCCAAGCCCCAAAATCACCAAGCTTGTCATAGTCTATCTGTTCCTTTGCGGAGACTGAATAGTGCTCGGTGTTGGTTCACCAAGGCTTCAACTGTTGCTGGTGCGGGGTCCCGGGCCATTGAGATGCCGTTCCGAGAGCAGAAGCCTGCATAGCAAAGCTCCAGGTCCTCCATGCAAGCTAAAACCGCAGCAAGGCTTCATGAAAGCTGTTGTTGAATTGAGCCGGTTCCCAATCCAAGGCACCTGGATCAGCAGAGGCCTCACCAAGGCGAATTGATGGCTGCAGAGGACCTGGAGTAGCAGTAGCATGCTGTTAAGCCCATTCCATGGGCATGCCCCAGTGGCATTGGAGGCTCCCACCAATTGCCTGGTGCCTGCTTGAGTCACGTAGGCCTGACGCACCGACGCTGGAATGCTAGGCCGCTAGGCTCTAGCTTGCTGAGCGAGGGATGGCAAGGGGCCAGCGGAGGCCGAGCATTTGAGTCACCAGGCCATGGAGGCACTCGCAGACAGCCGAATTCGAGATGTACATTGAAACACTTACGAGACCGAGCAGGCTCGCGCCGCAGCGGGCTACAGCTCCAGCCTCACCGGCCTTTCAGAATTGCACTTGTGGCTTCTGCAGAGCATCGGTGAAGCACACAGCCATGCCCAAATGCCTGAAGCTCGAAACACATGACTGTACAGGGTGTGCACGACTTGGGCTGCACGTGTGGGCGAATCCGTGCACAGCGCACACGTGTCGCTCGTGCCCGCACGGCCGAGCACAGTAAAACGAAAAACAAAACACGCGACGCTTCGCCGCTTCGCTACAAGTCAGCGGCCCTCGGCAAGAGCCCTCCGTCCGAATCGTCGTTAATCTCCCCCTCCGGGGGAGTATCAGAGAAAGATGTGCCGGCCTCGCAGAATGTTGCGAAGCCACCCCTGCACGGAACATCCTCGTCAACACAGCGGCCTTTGTATGCAGCCATCTGATCATGTCGTCCGGCTTGCGGCTTCCAACCTTTGCCAATGCTGGGCATGAGCTCGCCCTCATGTGCTGGCACGGCTCACCTCGAGCCGAGAGGCGTAAAACTCGATCATCCCACTCGCGTCTCCGCTGGGGAAGAGGGCGATTGTTGGAAAGCCGGACACCGATCCTCGGCTCATGTGCGCAAGATGCAAAAGGGGCGACCTTCGGACGATGCCACCGGGCATCCCCAGAGCGGGCCCAGATCGTTGCGTGTACAGTCCATCTGAGCGATGACCACGGTCGAGACATGGGAGAGACGTCTCGCCAGCTCCTTCCAAAAGCAGGCGCGGCTCGTGACCTAGGAAGCAACAACCAGCATGTGCATCCTTGTACTGCGGCTTGAAGTTCTGGCAGTGGCCACACCACGGGGCATAGCAGTTGACAAGGACGTCCTGCTGGAAAACTCTACTAAGCAGCATTGCAATGCCTGCACATGCTGTGTTGCTACTTCAAAAACTAGACAACAGAAGTCCTTTCCAGCATCCTTAGCTGCTTCGAAAATCCGAAACAAGTGCGCAAAGAGTGGTGATTTGCCCACCTGCACCGTGCGGCTGATGGTCGTCCCAACCAGGTTCCGCACCTGGCCGCAGACAGATGCGCCGCCGGGAACCAATGTCTAGCCAAGTAGGCGAGAAACTGCGGACCCACTTTCAACACTTCCGGAAACCCCGACATAGCCAACCTTTAAATCTTAACTTTCACTATCTCCGAAACCTCCCAAAACTCAAGCCCACCTGATCGCTGGTAGGCACGCCATACTTTAAAAAATGTCTTGGGGAAACTCCTCTCTTTCCAAAATCTTCAAGAATTCTTAGTTGCTCACAACCCCCCCCCCGGTCCCGACAACTTAAACCACTACACCGCTTCAACAAGCAGTCTCACTCTCCGTGCTGGAGAGCTTGGAAAGAGTTACAGAGGGATTTCTCAGTGGGGCTTCCCTTTTTCATTCTCTCATGTACCCCAGCTGATCCGAAGAGATGACCATGGATTGTTTTTGCGACATCGACCTTTTGTCCGATTCCCCCGAGCGGGGCAGTTGGTGAAGTGAGACAGAGTGAGAGACGGGAAGAGTGGGAGAGAAGGAAGTAAAGCGATGGAGGTTCCCATGTAGGGCCTTTGATACCAACATGACATACGCGCGTCTGACAGTTACAAGCAAAGTGTCGCGAAGAGGTGGCGCGGTGCGCCGGCATATCAAACTGTCTTGCAAGAACCACATAAGAAGCATGCCAAAGTGCACACAAATCAAAAGCCAATTAACCAGATGGGCGAGCAAATCCAGTGTAGAGGGTCTCCGGCGAGGGCTCAGGCTCGCTCCGCACGCCGATGAGCCAGCTCAGCCAAGAGCCTCAGAGACTACGCAGACGATTCAGAAGAGTCCTTGGCTCTGCTGCCAAGCACCTCCTGGTCGAAAGTGCGGATGGGACTGGACCTTCTTGTCTTCCTCCGGTAAAGTAAATCGCTCCAGGGCTCGACGATGTCTGGCCATGTGCAGTCTATCTTGACTGCATAAACTAAGTACCTACAACTGCGAAGTCGTTGAGAAGTCTATGCTGATTACAGTAGTTTGCACGTTTGGCCCTCGCGGTACGGAATGCCTTGCTGCGTTGTGGCGTGCCCGGCGGCGTTGATTGAAGGATCGCACGGAAAACACAACGGAGAACGGTTGTTCGGAGAGGCTAGTTTCATCTAGTTTCACTCGCCGTTTTTGTCAGTCCTGCCTGCGCACACCTGCCTTTGAAGAGAAGAGAACCCACCATGAAAGGAACTGAAGACTTTCGACAAAGGAGCAAATCGTTCGCAACGGAAACCCTTATAGGAAAGAGCCAACCGAGTGAGACGAACCAGGGTGTCGGAAAAGAAGATCAAACCCCTCGAAACAGAGAGAAGAAAACCGCCTGAACAGCACAGGGAACTTGAGGAGGAGCAAACCAACAAAGATTCGAGACTTTGAAAGAAAGAGCAAACCGCAGGAAAAAGACTCGTGAATTGTAGAAACAAGAGCAGACCGCCCCAGCGGAACCACACGATTTCAGAAAGAGCAGCAAACCGCTCAAAGGAACGGGAGATGTCGAGACAAGAACTGCTCAAAACGGACTAGGACTAGGTGACCAGGGAAGTCGAGAAACTGAAGCAAACGGTTCGAGAGGAATTCAAGAATTGGGAACGAGCAGCGGGCCACTCCAAGGGACTAGAGAAGTCTAGAAATGAGTAGACAACCGCATAAAGAACTGGAGACTTTACGGGTAGAGCGCTCGAAAGGGACTCGCTGCTGGGGCAAGTTCAACATGCTTCAACTCGTCTATGTATGCGGCACGGACTCAAAGCACGGCACAAGGCAAGGAGGTCCTTGTGCGCCGCTGCCTGGTTCGTGAGCGTGGCCACAACACACTTCTCCGACAGCCACATGCAGTCGCCTGAGCGGTTCTGGAGCGCTGCTGCATGGCTTGCGTGTGTTCGACGGCTCCACGAAGTATGAAAAAGTGGGCCGAGCACAATCATGGAGATGTTAGGTCTTCTAACAGCGTGTTTTTAGCAAAGGGCCAGGCGCCAAGAAACAAGGGACCTTGTCAAGGGAGGCTCGGGGCTGGTGACGGCTAGTTCACAGGAAGGGGATCGAGAGCACCTACGGGCCTACAATTGCCAGCATTGTCGCATGGAGATGTCGGGGGAGGGGGGGGCCGAGGGGTGAGGGGGAGCCCGAGTAGGCTCAGCAAGTGCTTAGCAAGTGCCTTGTAAGGGCTTGGTCTGGCTCCGACCCCCCCCCCCCCGTCCCGTGGGTCCAAGTCGGCAACGCTTCTTTTTTGCTCACAACTTGTGGGACCGCGCTATGGTTGGATTTCCCATCATCACCGACGGCCGCTGCGAAAGCTCAGCGGCGACGTACCCTGCAAGACCGACGAAATTGAATCCCGACTCACACACTGTCTTCTTGGTCCTGGACATCTGGACGAGGCCGCGGCACGAGATTCGCTGCTGTACGCGATGATGACCAACAACTTTGCCAACACTTGTGTCCGCAAACGACCTGATAGCATTGCTCACTGAATGAGTATCTCGTTGACCCTGACGACCGGCGGTTGGGAAAGCGCATAGGCGACGGCATCGGCGATGCTGGCCGGCGGCATCGAGTCTGGGATGCTGTCAGTGTTGACGAGCGGGTTGAACATACGGTCGCCCTCCGCATCGACGACGAGATTGCGCCCGGGGGTGTCCACCTCCCCAGGCTGCACGGTCAGCACTCGAATGCCACTGCCCTCCAGCTCCATGCGCAGACCCGTGGCATAGGCCTGCTTCCAGAACTTGCAAGCCGAGTACACGGTCAGGCCCTTCCACACCTGGCGGGCATTCTCGGAAGTGATCAGCATGATCTGGCCATCCTTCTTGGCCAGCATCCCTGGCAAGGTCACCTCCACTGCGTTCAACGTCCCATTGCAATGCACAGCAACAAGATCCGCATGGTGATCGTGAACTGCAGGAGCATCGGCAGTTGCCCTCACGTAGGACCACATGCCAGCACAATGCACCAGCACGTCGGCGGGCCCCAGCTTGGCATTCATCTCCTTGGTGGCAGCTTCCATGGCGGCTCGGTCTGTCACATCAGCAACAAGCGCGAGAGGCCGCTCTCCTCTGGCTTGCTCTATTTTCTTCGCAAGGTCCTGGAGCTTGCTCTCCGAACGAGCCAAAAGCGCTAGCCGGTACGTCTCCGCCATCTTCTCGGCGATGGCCGCCCCTATCCCGCTGGAAGCTCCCGTCACCAATGCCACCTGCATGCTGCCGCCCGCTGAAGCTGCGTAGCCTACGATTTTGATGAGGTGTTCAAGATGGAGCCACCCTGAGTCGAAACAGCTGCGGAGCTCAAGCAAGCAAATTTTCCTGAACCCAGGCTCAAATCCTGGGTTCAGCGGAATCGGCAACCAAAATGACTACTGCATGTTTGAAAACCCTCAAGCAAGACATTGCTTGCACAACTCCGTCAAACAGTGCCTGGCTTGCCCTCCAAAGCACTATGTCGTGCCACTCAGTTGGCTGCTCTTGAGCTGGGGCCGGGCACCATGGCACCAGCCACCACCATGCCCATCGGGACATTGCGCACAGGTCTTTGCGCGGTGACCACCGCAATTTATCAGCCTGTCCTTAATTCAAACACCAACCGGCGCATCCGCAAACCGACAGCCCATTGCCAAGCGACTGCTCGCAAGACACATTTTTCGCCGGTCCACCTGCAGTCCTTGGAAAGAGATCAATGAAAAGCCCAATTCCTGTTGCATCTCTCAGAATCTTGTCCACAAGCTCAGCCCAATCGCCCCGTTGCAGAAGTTCGCTGCATCCTGGTGATCCACAATTTTGCTGACACTCACTCTCGGACATTACGGCATGCGGCGTCATGTCTGCCGGCTTGTCCTCAGCCGGCTGCGACTCGACGCAACGTGAGCACAGCAGTGCCATGTGACCACCGCATGAAACATCTCCTGCTATGCCAGGCCTTGAATTCACAGTGCTCGCTGGACTCTCGCTCTGACTGAACCTATGACCCTGAGAACTCTTCCCTGAGGTTCTGAGGCTGCGACAAGAGGCTCGCAAGAGCTGAAATTGAAAGTATCGAAGCATGGCTCCCCAAAGACATCGAGAGCTTCAAAAGTTGCATGATTCTTCTCACACCCTCTTTCAAAAAATGTGCATGGGACCGGTCGATCTGCGTGTGTCGGAGTAGGCCGGGTCTGCTATGTACCAAGACAGCTACTTCGAGCCACCGCAAGTTCAACAGACACTGCACATCCAGCTCTGCGCTTGCCCTTGCAAGGCTCGTGGTCGCTCGCACAGCAGATCTTGCTTTCAGGACCCAGGATTCGGCTTGGGTTCGTTGGGGTGGAACCTTCTTTGTGAGGGCCGGAGTATGCAGGAACCTTTGCAACCGGAGCTGAGACCCCCGGTACAGCGCTGGAGGGTCCTCTCGCGTGCGAGCTTGCGGGCCTTAGGCCCTCAGCCGCACAAGCCAGAACGTGCAGATATTGCAATTATGAGTCAATTGTGAACGCATCTCCCTTCTGTTGGCACTGCTCGCTTCGCGAGCACCTAGAGAAACCTAACATGACTTAATGTACAGTGGTGTTAGCCCCGGCGCTTGGGCAGAGCCTCATGCAAGAAGTTGCCTACGCTGGCCGATCTTCCTCAGCTCCCGCACAAGCTGGTTCTTAAGCTGGACCAGGTCCTCATCAACTCCGGGTGCCATTCAAGGCGAGAACACACGAGCCCTCACAGAGCATCGTTCCTTGACCGTGGTGAAGTTGCTACCTCGGAGAGTTATCACCTCGTCCAGCAGCTCGTCAATGGGCAAGCGCACCTCACCTTAGAGGAGGCTCGGATCTGCACACCTTTCATCTCTGTCACCTTTCGAGCCACGTGCAACGACTGCCTACCGAGTAGCCCCCAAAGATAATGTCTGGATCCTTCAGGATCGCAATTACGTCCACCCCAACTTCCAAGAAAACTGCCATGGCCTCGGCGCAACATTCACGCAACAGAAGTGTAAGTCAAGAAATGACACTGCCATGATGCACGCTGTTATCTGCTGGTCGTTCCGGGACTCAGGCCTCTTTCCTAGGCTGAGCAGCGTCTAGCATTGCTGCAGCACGTCTCGGTCTAGCTGCGCCATCAACTCAACCCGCCTAAGCCTTCGTTTGACTTGGTCAAGCCGGGGCTCGTGTCCATGATCATCCTGCCAGGGCAGGAGGGTAGTGAGGTCGAACGGCTGAAGTACACAACAGTAGCTGCGAAACCCAATCCGAAAGGGCAGGACATGTCCTGAACTCTTCTTGGGTTATTACATCATCATCATCGCCGTCGAGGTTCTTCAGAACGTTGTATATCCTGACTCGGAGCAACGGATACATCGCACCTGTCTTCAGTTTTGAAACCCTCCACCACCCGCCACGTCGAATTATCCACCAAGAAGCCGTTCCCGGATAACACCTCGGTTCACATCTGTTGGGCAATGCCTGAATGCAAACGGAGTGTGGCTGAAAGTGGAATCTGCCGAAGCTGGCTGAGGCTCTGGCCATTGTGCTGGTTCTTCTGCTGCAGCGTCGCAACGGAGCTAACCACATGAACTAGCACGGCCACCACCATGTTCATGACCTGCCCATAAGTCGTTCGTGATCCACAGAACACTACAGTCACTACAGCATCTGGTGTAGGCACCGTTAACGGGCCCAGGAAGACAAAAAGGATCAGGAAAAAGCCGACATCGATTCCTGCAGGCGTAGATGCCCGCGGCATGTCACAGAGAACGCTCACTGATGCGCCGAAACTCATAGCAAGTGCAGCAACGCCTTCATCGAAGACAGCTTCTGCGAGGTTTGGCAGAAACTCGCCGAGACAACCGTGAAAGAAGAGGGCAAACCTGACACTGACAGCGGCATGGACGCAGGTGGCTGAGTCTCGGCAAATGTGCCTGTGCTTTCGAAGACAGGCTGAGTGCATGGCATCCCCTTGGTAATCGATGGGAAGTACGCATCTCCCGCAGCCGTGCCCCTGCGTATGCCGCACCGTCAACCCTTTTTTGCCAGCTTCTACGCAACTTCGAAACATCCTTGCCTGAGGAGTTGCATGAAGACGAGCGCAAAAACATAGACCAGTATGACCAGAAGAGAGACCGTGCAAATCACAGAGCGGGAGGCAACTCCCATGCCCTGGAAAAGGATCCTCGGATGTCAGAGCAGCGGACCGGATCTCCAGAGCAGACTGTCCAGGAAGGGCTGAAGTCTCCTTTGTGAAGCTTGGTGTCATCATCTCTGGCACAGAGCGCAAGATCCGCGCGACTCGCGCAAGTCGGCTGATGCGGATGATGCGCAGGAGCCGCAAAGATGAGGAGTTCACAACCGAAACATCCATGTCCTAAGAGTCGAGGTGTGGTGTGGCACTAGCTGCTCACTAGCTCTTATGAGGTTTTGCAGCCAGTCGGTTGCGTGATTCGACTTTGCACACCAAGGCTCTGATGAGGCCATGATGGCAAGAAGAACCCATGTGTCCAGAACCATCGCCAGCACCAGCGCAAGGTCAAACACGAACCTTTGCTTGAAATTAAAAGAAAACGCCTGCCTGGCAAGCCAGGCGGGATCTTTTCCCTGCGGTTCCCTGCGGTTTTTTCCTGCGGGTCCGGGAGCCAGTAGTCCCGGAAGACGTTGCATTTCCTCCGAAAGGCGCCGAAGCGAATGACGATCTGACAGGGACAATTTTTCGCCGGTGCTCACAGAAGTGGAGCAGTAGATTAGTAGATGGATCCGAAAGCATGGAAGTGTCATATATTATGGTACTTAAAGAACTGTCAGGTTTTGCAAATTTATTGTGTCATACTGTACCCACTACCCACGTATCTTACGCTCTGTCATTGATTGTCATGTTCTGCTGCATCGGAAGGTGCTAAGCTATGCAATTGTTTGTCATGCTATGCTGTATTGGAAGATGATATATATATATATATGCTACGTCATGCCATCGTATACATAGATGTCGAAAACATTCTGGCACCTCCCTTCAACTACGCATGTATGCATGCGCAGCCCATAATTCCAAATGAGATACCGGCCACACCTCCAGGAAGAAGTATGTACAAAAGAGGTTCTCCATGATGATGAAGATTGGCTGAGAATTGATGAGGAGAAGCTGGTCATTGTAGGTGACGTCCACGCCCAACCACACCGAATTGGCCTCAGTGCTGACGTTTTTTTAGGCCTGGTGGAAACAGGACATCTCCAGACTCTCGCATCCCGGACAAGCGAGGATTCCGCTTACTTCAAGAAGCTAAGGCCGACTCCTTCTGTCACTGGTAACATGCTCATGATTGCACTCAATGTCATAATTGACATGCCTTTCATGCTCATACTATCCGCAACGCGCACTACTTTTTTGTCTGACCTTGCAGTTTCCCGCGCGCAACATCAACACTCTGGTGGGTACTGTGGACATAATGGACGCACGAAGGCGATGGCCAAGAACAAGCTGTCAGCCACCAGCTCTTTCAGCTACGAATACTGCGAAGAGCTTCGGGGCTGGCTCCCGAACATGTGGACAAGTGCTCGAGCCGAACGGCTTTTTTATGCCACCTTCGCAGAGCCCCGATAGGATATGGCGGATATGGCATTGGGTTCATTGAACAGCATGTTGGATATTGTTTGGGGTCTGCAATTGTCTGGGACCGCAGCTGTTGCCAGACATCTTCTTAAACCTATGTTCCGCAGGAACGATACCACCACCGCCACCGCCTGAAGCCCACAGCCCCAGAGCTGAAAGCCACCCCCGTCCCTACAGTATCTGACAACCGGGCAGAGAGTAAAGCATTCTGTCGATCAAAAGCACACAGCCGAAAAGCCACGAAACCCAAAGTGCCAAGAAGACATCTGAGGCCGGAGGCCCGCAAACGGTGCATCGCCAGAAGCACCCCGGATTACAACTTCGGTCGAACAACATTCGGAGGCGCTGGAATCTCCACTCCCTGTTGAAAGGACCACCAAGACACTGCGATGACGGCCATTGTCGCATTCTCGAAAGTCTGGCTGCGTGCAATGTACTGGCAAAGTCCGGTTTTGTAGTACGTGTCCTGCATATCTCTTTCCCTTAGATGGGGCACATCCCACACGTTTTCATCATGCCCCACCACCTAGATGTGTGCACTTCCTGCGCTGCTATCAGTTATCACCAAGTCACCCCTGGAAGAAGAAGGCTTGCCAGTACCCGCGAAGCTTTTGCATTACGAGTCCAAGTCCGGTTTCCTCTTCTTGCACTCCTGGTGGCAGCTCGTGTACTGCAGGTCCCGATGCAGAAGCATCGCAAGACAAGCAAAACGCGCTTTGCAGCCGTGCGTCGGTTTTTGGATGCTCGGATGTAGTAAGCAGTTTCCTGCGGCTCCTCTTCTTCTGCCCTCGGCTTGCGTGAACCCAGCAAGGCTAAGCAAACAGAGGAGGACAGAGAAGGAGCTTGCTTTCCGAGGAAGGTGCGGCTCGTCCTCCGGCTTCTCGATTTCGTCATCATCTAGCTCCGGCAGTATCGGCGGACCCGGGCCATAGGCACCTCAGGCTCCAAGAAGCCCCTGTTCTGTTTGCCAGAAATCTGGAGGCTTCGGAGATAGAGCCTCGTGTGGCCACCGCACCAGGAAGCTCCATGTTCGGTAATTCCTGAACATTGACGAGGCCTGAGGCAACAGGCAAGTCACGAGGCCGCTGAGGGACCACACTGCACACACTCTGCTCACTTGCAGCTTGGTTCAGTAGAGCCGTGCTCCGAGAAATTGAACATGCAGTTCCGGGTTGCGAAGACGCTTGAATCCCTCTTTTGCCCACACGGGCCTGTGAGGTTCCGCTTGAGGGAAGCGCGATTTTGCGATGCCCAGGTGTCCAGTCTCATCTGTGCCTTCTCCAACCTGCGCTGAACACCCGAAAGTCTGTTGCACTTCCCTTACAGCGTCAGTTTACCTGCCTCGCCAGTGGGTCTCCAGTGTCCGCCGGAGGCGCCTTGCATCCCAGGAAGGTGACCCCAGAGCTTTTTTGAGAATGCAATGCCCAACCCATGGCGAGGAGTGCAGTTTTGAACGCACCCTCGCGGCTCCCACTACTCCCAGCTTCCTTTCAGCCGGCGGGCTTTCAGAAGCCGCCAGGGCGGGAAAATGGATGGCCAAAAACGGCCGCTCTGTACGGAGAGACACTTGAACTTGAAAGGCTGGCAAGCCTTCCTGCCCCTCTTCTCCACAGGGCTCAGAAAGGAAGTAAAGAGCCGGCAGTCGCAGCGCCAGGTCGCTGCTTCCGGAGCCGGGCGCGCGAGCATCCTGGAGTTCTGGAGCTATATAAACGTTGCAGAAAAAACCCACACGTCCTCCAGGTAGTCGTCCTCGTCGGCGATATGCCGCTCGACTTTCCGCATGTGAATTCGTTACGCCCAGCTGCAGTTGAAGATCGGCTGGCAAATCATGGCAAGTCGATCTTCAACCGCAGCTGCCCGCAGCAGTCGCTCCCAGTACCTGCGCATCCTGCTCGTGGTCTGTGGGCTTCAACAATCGCTACGACTCTTGGCTCATGCTAGGCCTTCGAGCCTAAAAGCGAGATACTCGGGTCAAGCAGTCAAGCCTTTGCTGTATCAAAGGTCTGCGGTGGGGCGGTGGGCCGGCTTGAGCAGCGGCAACAGATGTGGGCCCAGAGCACAAAGCTAATCTTGAGTCTTGAAAGATTGAGCGAGGATACATGACCTGCTGCATCCGAGGAGCGTAAGCAGCGTATGCTAGTGGCTCAGGCTTGCTGGGGCTGTGTGGGCTGCCCGGTCGCATAAGCATCGATGTGTCGGCCTCGCAGGAGGCGTTCAATCAACCTCACATGCTTCAACTGCTGAAGCACAACCTCCCCAAGGCCTGCGAGTATGCATAAGACACTCCGACGGTCTTGAGGGCTGCCAATTGCTCTCGCAGCTCGTAGTTCTCCTCTTCGATAGCTCTAGCTGACTTATCACCTTAGCCAGTGTCAACTCGGTGCCAGAAAACGGTGACATCTTGGGTATGATGTTGGCTGAGAACATCACGCTCCAAGTACTTGTCCTGGTCGGCTGCATAAGCACCGCTCGCCCTCTCACGCACTCGCTCCCTCGCTCATCTCTGCAGGGCTTTCCACTGTGTGGGGGCAGTCTGGAGCAGAAAAAAGTCGCTGCAGTCCCGCAAGAGCTCCCATAGAAACACAAGGGGACATGCTTTGTGCTATGCAGCCAGAGGTGAGTCCTTGTACAGCTTGACCTGCGACACCAAAATCTTCATCTGTTTTGCCTCTCTCTCTTTGGCACTGGAAGGCTTCATCGCGTCCATCTGCGTTTTGAGGCGCTCAATCTCCTTTCGAGCATCTGCGCTGCCCCGTCTATCTGTCTGGCACAACTCTTGCAAGCAATCCTCCTGATACCTACGAGCCATGCTATCTCGGTGCGCAAGCAATCGAATCGCAGTGGAGTAGTGCAGCTGCAGCCTCACGCATGGCGGCAAGGCTTGTCACTTGCAGTCAGCAGTGTCTGCAGTGAATGTATAGAACAGCCGAGCCACTGCATGTAAACCTCCTCCATTTGATTGCCAAGCAAGCTCTCTACAGATTCGAAATCTCCTAAGCGCAAGTCCGCAGCGTCTGCAGCCGCAACTATGCAAGTATGCAGCGTGGGCATCCGGTAGCCGCAGCTCATGGCTCATGGCTACTGCGACAAGGTCCAAGCTGCCGATTTGTTCCTCCTCCCCCGGCACATTTATCTCCTCCAACTGCTGCTGGAGCTTTCCTAGGCGGTCGCATCTCACCCCAGGTCTGTCGCAAGATGCTGGACCGGCAGATTGACGGCAGACTCTCTGCAGACCAGGTCTCTGTTCATGAGGGTCTTGGCCTCGGTTCCAAGTTTGCCAAAGGTGCCACAAAGCAGTCAATCAGAGAAAGCTGAGCTGCATCTACCTCTTTGGGGACACTCCTGCACTAGTTTTCGAAATGAGAAGCATGAACTTGCATACACATGTCGCGAGAAATTGTGCATTCCGCTGGCCTTTTGTTGCTCCTCATGACTGGATGCGGGACACAGCGCGATTGGCGGCTTGTGGGAGTTCAATCGACCGTCTTGGGTTGTGCTATGCCCAGAAGTCTTGCGAAGAGTCGAATTCCTAGCCCCGCATGTGCAAATCAAACCATGACGGGCCAGGTCAGGCGAAGTGTCACTGCATGCCGCGGGCTCGGTATGTAATGAGTGCTGTGTGTTCTAAGCTGCAACGGCAGAGGTCAGGTTTGCATGCACGGTGAGGCCCATGTCCACAGGCGGGCTGGAACACAGATCACTGTGCAACACACATAGCATGCAGGCTCCTGCAAGTGACAGCACATTATGCCGTCCCTCACAAGGTGTGACGAGCCTGGCACGAACTGGGTCAAACTTTTCATGTCAGTGGTCGGGAATTGCACTCAGGCCACCACACATCACGAGGCTGTGCTGCCCGGATCGCAGCTGCATGGAGCCGAGTTTGGTGGAAAGGCATTTTCTCTTTGGCTGGCAGCGCCCCTGTTCTAGCCTCGGCTTTGCCATGCCACTCGACCATGCAAGATACGCTTTGGGCCCAGACTTGGAAACGTCCACTTCGTTCCCCACCAATACAACTTCCACCTCGATATCCTCGCAGCCCACCACTTGCCACTAAACTGGCTCGAGTGACATGCTCAGAAAGCCAGTGGAAACACTCAATGTCCTGCCGGTCCACTGCCGCTGGCACCTGTTACTGTTCGCCCCCGAAGATCTTAGAAGTTACCCTTCGGAGCCCAGAACTCTGGCTCTGGCAGCTGGGAGCCACACATCCCAATCCAGTTTCACAGACTCGCTCCAGTAGACCACGCAACCAGGTCCTCGGAATCGGCATCTCTGGTCGCAGTCATGAATCGCACAGAGGCTGCAAATCCCCACGCTGCGAAAGACTTCCATCACACCCAGTAAATTTGCACAGCGCAGCGAGGAAAGGTCCGCGGTCGGCCAATGCATCACCAGGAATTGCCCGAGAGTTGCGCAACATTCGCATGGCATGGAGGACGAGTCCCGACAAACAAAAGACTTGTCGCGGGCTTGCCAATGCGCCTGCAAAATTAGGAGTCCTCGGAGGCCGTATTTACCTCTTCGTTACTCTGGCGGCGGCCGCCCCAACACCTTTACTAAGCGCCAGTTTCTTCCAGCACTTGCTGGCCAGCTGATGTCATCGTGCCGCCCCGCAGAGTCCGCACGTATGGCCCAATGTGGCACTGGACAGGGCGCACAAGTCCATAAAGGTAACCTCACACGCGCGTTCCTTCCCTGAGCAGCACGCGGATCCGATCAAAGATCCTAGGAAATCCGTCGTTGCTGGCTGGAGGAGGACCTCAGCAAAGACTTCAATGTTCGCATTCAGTGAAGAGAATGGTCAGCCATGCATCATAGCTCGGGTTCACACGTGCCGTCGAAGGCAAACATGGGTTACCTGCCGTTTTACCCAGATCGCTAAGACGCCGATAGCCGGTCACGAAGGAATCGCAGCAATCTCATGCAGAGGTCGCTGATCTCAAACTGGGCTGAAAGGAAAGCCTCAATATCACCGCTGTCTCTACCGCCCGGCTGGGAGTCCAGAAGCCCGAAAGTCTGTGGCTGGAACTACCGGCGTTCGGCCGTCCAGGAGCACAATCTCGTCAGCTAGTTCCTGACACAACTTGTACGGCGCTGGTGTTGCGACATGTCTCCCAAGGTTTGAGAGGTTCGAAGCGATCTGAAACTACTGGGACTATGTTGCATTACCAGCTATGATGCGACAGCTACATCAAGGAGATAGCGATGGTTGGAGTCTGAGAGCGCCTGCGTGGCCGATCTGCGATGCATGAAGACATCCAGCCTTGACAAGGCGGACTGAAAGTGGGTCATGATGTGAGATCACAGACACCGCCATGGTTTTGTTGGCACATAGTACCGACTTAGATGGATCGTAAGCGCCAAGCAAATACGACCAATTATGCCGCCACTTTGCAGCTGTAGTTTCGGTTCCATCCTGATAAAACCGACAGATAAAGGATATGTACCACAAATCCAAGACTGTCTTTCGCAGGTTCGCGGACAACTTTTCTCGCTGCTGCTACAGAATTGCGCATGCTTGAGCGTAAGCAGCTGGAAGAAGGCTGGCTCGCGCGTGGCCCTGGCATTGGCTATTCGGTCCTCCGATGTCACGGAGACTTCAATAGTGAGCTGATCACCCACATCTTGGCCTGGAGCAGTGAGGACTCACACTGACCACAGCGCATGGCGGCCCCGGCGACCCGGCCGACATCGAGCTCAAGCTCTTTGCTGAATGCATCCAGCACGATGCACCTCACAGTCTCCCGCTCCGTGTACTATTATGTACCCTTGGGCACAGTAAGTTTGAGTAGCCCTCGGCGACCAGACTTCAGACTTGCCCACCGCAGTGACAGCTGTTCCTAGCATGGCATCCCAAAATCCCTGTCCCACTCGTTCCAACAACCGCCCAACCCTCACTGCCAACCCAAGCCCTGGTCGCAACAGCAGCAGCTTGACCAAACAAAGACTGCAACGTTGACTAGGAGATGTGTCGTGAACTGCAGCAAATTAGTCGAAGTTGTGGTGGCTGAGGCCACTCTAATCCTTCCTGTACCTTGGCCGAAGACATGCCACAGGCCAATCTGCAGTGCAAGCCGGGTTGAAACCGAGGCATGAGCCCTTGCTTTGGGTCAATCCGGTTGGAGCCTGGGAAGACCTGCAACCCGCGCAGCTCACGCGCAGCTCATCAGCCGGGCCAAGCACCGAACCGCAGCTGCCTTGGAGAGCGGCTCCACAAGCCGCTTCTCACTTCGTTCGTCCTGCGACGGAAGCTTCACGTGGTCGGTTGCCTCCGGCACCGGTTGTCTCATATGGCAGGCAGCGGGAATGAAGGCACCAGACCAGGACGCCTTGAAGTTGCCTCCCGCCGAGAAGCAGACCTGAACCTGACTCTAGGCAAAAACTTGTAGATTATCTTGGGATTACCCAGATCCGGCCTCTTGAACCTGGGCCTCTGTCCCGGCTACTGATGGCGGAGCACCCGCCAAGCTCGGCGGACCCGGCGCAACTAGGGTCCTGAAAAGGAAGACACAAGGTGGCGAGTTTTTTCCAGTAGTTGCGAGGGCCGGACAGCCGAAGCCGCTTCAGCCTCGGCGGGCCAAAGCGGTCATGATCATGTTGCTTTGCACCTTCTGAGCTGGCGGGCCTGATCCGCATGGTCGGGTCCTCTCCGCTTCTAAGTCAACTCATGCTGACCGTGCGACAGAGCGTGCAAGATGCCTCTGGAAGGATCGCGCAGTGTTTGTTCAGGAAGTGGTTAAAGGTGCTGGACCTCACAGCAATAGAAGTGAAACAAATGACCCGACGAAGACGCTGAAAGCGTCTTACGCTCACGGGGCCTCGTCAGTGAATCAAAGGCAAATCTGTCTTAGACACAAGATAGTACATTTTCGAAAGATAGTGAAATTATGTACATGATTTCAATTTTCGTCTTGCCACACCGGCCGGTGGTGGTGTCAGCTGGTTATAGAAATGTTTGCAAGAAGTGCCGATTCCTTTTTGCACCCCTGTGTTTATGATGGCTTACGCATATATGGACCATATATGACGGCGTATTCCTCCTGATCTTGCTCATGAGTGTTCCGATTTCTGGGGCCGTCAGATTAATTTACCCATTCCAAAAGCACTCGTAGTGGGGTTCTGGGCACAACCGCCTTCTGGCTTTGTCTTCGGTTGGGATGTCATGCCAATGACAATGCCGAAAATGAAAGAAAAGATGATTCCTCGAAGAGCTGTCAGCCAATCTGGCAGTCTGCTCAGGTTGCTTGGGATGCGGACGGCAAGATGCGGCACCAGCCTTGCAAGAGTACAGTAGGGCATTCCAACCTATCCGAGAACCCATGGCCACTCACAGTGAAGGCGGCAAGATTCTCGAACGTGCGATCTCCCCTGTGCGGCCTTGCCACAGTAGCAGGGGAAGTTCTACGAATTTCCTGCCAAAGATCTGGGCATAACTTTTGAAACAACCATCTTCATGGAAACTCGGGACCATGTGCCTAGGAGCGTCGATCATCGTGGGCCGCGACCACGCGGATGTCTTAACATCCGGCAATTTGCAGGGAAGTGCAAATCCCAAGAACCATCAGGATCGCTCTCCAGGCCTCGATCAGGGCTCCCGCGTCATCGAAGGCGATGACCTCTATGCTTCTTCATATTGGCTCCACCAAGTATCTGTTCGCAGAACGCAGGAGCTGACACCTACCTGAAATTGATATGGCCGACCAGCATGAAGGGGAGGCTGCTCCTGTGGATACTGCGGACGTTCCCGGACCCTGCTTCGGACTTTGCGTCTCACCGGGAAGGTCCTGCTCTGCCTGCAGCTTTCCTGGCATGTATGAGAATGTATCAACCTCCTTGGGACAATAACTTGAACAGTTCTCTGAATTTAACCAGACTTCCAGCCTGGCCTATTGCCGCGAGCTCCACGTCATACTCTTTCCGGTAGTACTGCCTACAGACCGGCAAGGGCGAGTCAACTCTTTGGATGTCACACATGTGTTGAAACGCTTTCTTGCAAAGCCCATAGTGAAGACTTGGTTTCTGCACGACAATGGCTTCTGGCCACACGTACCCTACATGTAGACCTGCACATAGCAATCAGTGTATAATCAAACGAGTTTGGCAACACTCTTAGCCCAGAGAGTGCTGAGTGCTTTGCTTTCCCCCGACGTCCTGCTTCACATCCACTACGAAAAGGAAGCAGCGAATATCCGGAAACTCCTGCAAGTTACCGACAATATGCACCACAATCAATATAGCACCCCCGCTTGCAAAAGCAAAGCGTCCTCCGGGCAAGGCAACTTGTCCACAGCGATATGTCGCGTCCGCACGATTCCCTTGAAGCCCTTGCCAGCTGGTACGATCCTCCCCCTCCCCGCCCTTAGGACGCCCACATGGAAGAAGCCTCCAGCGAGGCAGCGTCCGGCCACAGCCTTGCCTGCTTCGCAGAGACATCTGTGAGGGTAATGGTCGGGAAAGTTGAAAACGCCCCGCTTTTCCTTGCCTGGCAGCAGATCGTCGAGAACCTGCAAGGACGTACGTACATGCCACGAAATGAGCCGCCGCTCTTCTTTGAGTGCCAGGCCGCTTGGCTTTCGGCCTCTTGGCCCAGCGCAGCAGCACCTCAGAGCTGCGAGCAGCTGCGATGCTGTGATCCTCTGGACAGAGGCCCCGGCTCCCCTCGTGGGCCAGTGCACCATGCTTGGATGCAAAGCCCAGGTTTCGCTGTCTTTGGAGCACTGCATCCTGTCATTCAACTCTCATCGACCCTGCCCTCATCTGCCTCGCATCCCCCCTCTGGCCTGTACGATGCAGTCCTGAAGGTCGCGATCTTCCTGAGCTCCTCTCGTAGGCTGGGAATGACCTGCACTGCGGAACTCCCAAACTGCCGATATACACGCTTGGACCGAGGCGATGGCAAGGAAGCCGAGGATCAGCAAGACCTCTCTACATGGGAGTCGCGATTCACGGATGCGCACCAAAGAATACTACAAGAACGGCTCGAGCTGAAGTGCGATGACTTCACCATTGTCTGGGAACACGGGCTACGCACAGACAAAGCCGAACGATGTGCATCTTTGGCTCCCAGCCCAGACCGTGCTCATCTGCAAGCTGCATGGCATATCCCTTCTCCTGCGGATTCACTGAGGCAGCTGCCACCACGCCGGCCGCCAGGCCCATGGATAACGTGATGCCCGACGCAGCGAGGAAGATCCAGAAGTCCTCTTGGCCGGAGTGAATCATCCTTCATAATCCTTAATACTTAATACTATTTAATACTATCTGAGCCGTCTTTCCCTACACTCCTTGACGGTCAGAAGCCGAGGCCTCACTTCCAACATCAGATCAACGGCGATCAACCTTGTCGCTGCCTAGGCCCTCACCTCCAGAAGTAAGTAGACTTCGCCTGGGTGGTTCGAGTTTCCAAATCCACACAAGATGGATCCTGCTGCGTGAAGCCAAGGAGCATCGACCTTGTCAAAGACGTAAGCCTTGGAACCCTTGGGATCCCAGATCCACCTGCGATCACTGCGACGGCTTTTGCCAACAAGCTCGCAGTCGAACTGCAACACCTCGCAGAGGTGAGGTTCATGCCCACGATGTCCACCTAATACGCAAGCTGTGACACTGTGCGTCCGCTGAGTGCTGGTACTATTTCGCAGCAGGCTTCGCACCTCTGGCGAGATGGCTTGCAGCTGCTGCTCTCCGAAGCGGAGCTGTGCATCCTCACGTCGACAATCAGTCCGAAGCGGCACTTTCAAAAGGATGGAGACCAGAGCCGCCAGCATCTAGATTCCCGATGCCAGGATCGCACGCATCCTCACCGTTTCTTCCGATGGAACCAACGCCCGGATCGGCATGCCTTCGGCCCTACTCAGCTGTACTTTCACTTTAAGACTCTCGACGGCTACTCCTGCGGGAAGAGCCAGCGCATGCCGGAGACCGGTGCTACGATCCGGAGAACCCGCGGCCGCCTCGGAGCAACATGGGAAGAGAAAGGAGGCGCCTGCTCGTCAAGTTCCGAGGGCCGCACAACATTCCGCCTGTCACAATCGAGGCCAGGGACAGCGACATCGCGTGGTATACTGTGGACCTCGACAATACTAGCATTTGGCGCAGCAAGCAGGAGGGTGCTTTACTGCAGCTGTCTGTGGCTTGGTGCGGCTTCGCCACGAGAGGAGCTTCAGCATGCCGGTCGGGGCATTGGGCGCCAATAGGTGCACATTCACCACGTACCTGGGCTCCTGAAAGTCATCCGCGCTGATTCCCAGCTTCCAGCGGTAAATCAGGGAATCACATGTCACAGCATCAGAGTCCTGTTTTCCCTTGGCTTGATGCAGCCATTTCGATAGCTTACCTCGGAGACTCCGAAGCAGATCCCTTTCCGGACAAACCGATTCCTGGAAGACTCAGGCGCCCAGCCCAAGAGCCTGGTCAATGTGTGTGAAGGCACTCTGAAGCTTGTAGCGACGGGCATTTCAAGGTCTCGCTTGCAGCTGCGGGGCTCTCGGGTTGCAGGAAGCAGCACCGTGCCCTCTTGGGCTGCCACAGAGCCCCTAAGCCGCAGAGCAGCAGCTGCTGAAGACAGGCAATCGGCAATCGGCCTAACGACCTGCAGCGGCGCCTTGCACCTGGCCGGACATTCTGTGCAGGCTTTCGGCTCCGGGATGACCGGAGTCTAGAATGAGGGCAGAACATCTCACTTGTCAGAGGATCGGAGGCCTGAGCACAGCGAAGCATCCACACAACAGACTCAAAGGTCACTGGCCCTGGCCTGGATGTAGGCCGTGCTGCCTGCTGAGGGCTTTGTGTTTGTGGCTCAGGCCTTCCTTAAATTCAGAACTGTTGCGAGGCCTTCTCCATCAATTCTGACTTCCAGCGCTTCGTCAATCCAACCATCAGCCGATAGTCCCGACCTGATTTCTTCCCTGGGAAGCAAGAGCTGCAGCCACTGCTGGCTGAGTTTAGAACAGCTGATACAAGCGCAGCCTGCCGGTAGCATTGCTCGCCTGCGGACACATGGGCAGCAACATGGCGTGGCCGGGCCGGATCGCATCTGGCTGCAAACCAGGTTCAACAAACTTATTACATGCCACGGTCAGACATTGCCAACCGCTGCGTACACCCATACATTCCTGCTACTGGTAGCTGGGGATAAACACCCTAGTCCATTGCCTGGTGGACAGTGGGTGCTGACAATGCTGCCTGACGCTTGGCTGGTGTCGCTTTCACTGGTGCACGACGAGCGAAAACGATCGGTGTTCACAGGCACTACTAAGTAACTGGCATATTTGAAGATCTCATCTGGGATTTCGGCCTGCAGGACCGCGAACGCTGACTATATGAAGCTTCAGTCCCTTCCTCGTAGCCCATCCCCGTACACCTTTCGCATCAACAAGTTCCGAGTGACGGTTGCCTTAACAGGAACACCCTTTGTGCTGATCGAAACCATCGCATCCTGCGGCTGGCAACTTCGAAGGAGGCACTACATCCTGCCACAGCCATGCCGACCCTCTCTCGTTCACAGGTCCTGTGCGTGGATGTCAGCCTGCCAGAGGTCCACCATCACTACATCATTGCATACAGTACCACTCAACTCGCATCTCAGATCCGTTGGCCAGTGGAAGGAGCAAGCCTTGTTCTGTCATGGAGCATGGCATGCTTGCAGCATGCTATGACTCTTTAATCAGCCTTGCCATGCTCAGCACGGCTGTGGTGAAGTCCAATGTAGCCACCCTTGACATGGACCTGGCGCACATGCACAATCCATCATCTTTCCAATGCCCCTTTCCGGTCTGCCCCTCCGAAGACTGGTTGGACTTACCAAAGCTCACCATGCCTGAAGCGATGCTGCTCTGATCTCGGACAGAGTGGTGCGCGCCTTACTTGCAACCGTCGGCAGAAGGGAATGGGAGCGCGGTGATGCCACAGCAAGTCGGCGCCGCGCCGTCGTTGAGATCTCAAGATGAAATCCTCCACCTCACTGTCATTGCGAAATGCACATCTGGATAAGAATGGGCCTCTGTAAGCTCCCCACGAGCATGCAGATCAGAGATGCTTACGCTAGCCATCTGCTTCGAAGTTTGGGAGTCTTCTCCCTGCACGATACTGGAAGAGATGGGCAGGGCAGCAGGTCAGTCACACTGGCTTACGGCGACTAGTGCTACAACTGCGCCGCCTCGCTGAAGCCATCCTGCCTCATGATGGCAATGCGTTAGATGCCGAAAAAACCGCCACAGGCTTGAACAAAGCGCCGGAGGCACTGAACAGTCATGTTGACGAAGTTGAAATTGAATTGGGCAGATCCTGGCCGCAGCCAGCAGCTCGTGATTTCTGTCAAGACGAAGCTACTGTGGCAAGCCTGCTCTGAATTCAGGCAAATGAAGAACAAACCTCAGTTCTGCACCACAGAACAGTATCACATGGAAGTTTTTGGATGTTTTGAGATCATGGCACACAGCCGAGCATAACGAACTTGCCTTATGCCCACGGAGAATGTCGGCCAGGCACAATGACTCAGTGGTCTTTCTGGGCAGGCGGCGGTTGTACATGGCATGCACGCGCAGCGTGTGGTTCACGATTTCCATAGATCCGGAACCCAAGAGGTGCCAATAGCTGAGATGGGCCTGCGCAATTTGGTGCGCAGCCTTTGCTTGAAAGTCGCAGGGTCGGCGCGCGACGGGGCAGCCTCTGCACCGGAACCGGGCACCGTCAGGACGTCGCACCCGGAGAGCGAGACCTGCAAATCCTCGACAGCGACTCCAACACTTGGATCGGAACAGGGCAGGACTCATCCAAGGCCGCTGCTAAAAGCGTGGCCGCATCCGGCAATCGCAACACCGTGTGGCTGTAAAACAGGGAGCCCCAAAGCAGCGGCGTCAGCCTGAGCTGCGCTTGCGACCAGCAAGCAGCTAGGCAGCAGCTAGACTTGCCCCAAACAAACGGAAAAACAAAACGTGAGCGTCAACGCCTTGCTGCAAGATTTGCCAAGCCCTTTTGGCCTCTCGGTGCCTCAACACCGCTCAACACCGCTCCATCCCGCCAAGCCGTTCAGCTGGGCAGGAAGCACAGGGGTCGAAGACATTTGCGAGGTATTTTTAGTGGGACCCGGTGGTAGGAGGTGGATTTCAGGCTGCTTCAAGTTCCAACTTGCGAGGTGTCGTTGAAAAGGGGATCACCTGGTGCCGGCGCTGTACAACGAGCACAAGGAGCACGCAGGCTTAGACTCCCACAACACGGACCTGCTTCTGATACGGGAAAGCTTCGGAACTTTCTAGAGGCTTGTTTGTCCAGTCCGCGCTGTGAGCTAAGTCAGAGCCAGAGCATTCGTTCGAATGCCCAGGTCTGCTTAGGAAAACGCACCTCGAGTCCCGAGAACTCAAGAGCGAAAAGCAACACGCTTCAGCCTTGCCGAGACCTGGGGTAAGGATTGGTAAAGGCTGCGTTGGGGCACTGGATCCCGTCAAGACCACGACGCAAAGGTCACAGCTTGGGATGGCTCTGGGCCTTTTCTTGCTTCGAGGCAGGGCATGCACATCCAACGTATTAGAATGAACGGATCCGAACTCTGTTCGAAAAGCGATGCTGGCTGAGTGCACGCCCTGCTGTGGGAAACATGGAAAGTTGCGGCTGAGGGCCGGGAACAGGCAGGTCACATGGTCACATGACGGAGCACCCATCTGCCATGTGAGGCGGGGCTGGCAAGCCCCACTCCTTGTCGTAGGCAGTGTTCCGGCCGACAGGCTTGCCGTACTCCTGGCACAGCGACCCACCGTAACATGCGGCAACATGCGGCAGTGCCCCTGCCTTCTCATAGAAGGCCCACCAGCTCATCAAGCCCTGCAGCCGCCTCTGCTTTTGCGGAGCACTAGAAGATGCCAACTCCCACAGAAACCAAGAAGGCCTGTCTGCGGCTTCTGCCGGCTGAATCTTGAAGACGTCCTTGGAAACGCAAGTTTCATCGAGTGACTGATTATCAAGGGATTCAAGGTCTTGTTGAAGCCGCCAGTTCTGCGGATAGCAAAAGAATCGATATCGACTTCTGAGCACTGCCCCAATGATGAGTCCAGCCGATTTCACGGCATGAGTACTTTTCCGCCAGGTTACATGCGAATTATGACAGCACCCTGAATTGGCAATGCCCAAATGCATTTAGAACTTCCAATGCTGTGACCAAATGACAAATTCAATGGCTCTCAGTTCACAGGCTGTTGCCGCAAGTGCCTTTGTGGCTTTACATCCGCCAGATCCTCAATAACAAAAGAATGAGTCAGCCTGCCTCCAAAAGGGACACTGCGCGGACGAACGCTTCCACAAACGCTGAGGGAGGACTGGTCAATACATGTGCTTTGCGTGCCTCCCGGCGTTTAGAAACCACCAAGTGACGTAGAATTTGTCCATAGTCTCCTCGGTGTCCTGAGCTGCTGCGTACGAGAACCGACACCTGGGAAATGATCAAAGGCCGCTCTCTGGCCTCTCCACTCATCAGTGCCCATGTGATGTCTTTCCCAGTCATGTACCTCTGGTAGTCGAGCAACCACGGTTACAATGGTCACAACACACGAAGGAATCCAAACTTCGATCGCCTCAACTAACAAAGCCGAGTAGCCAGTATGGGCCGTCAGGTCCATACTTGTCGGGTCGATCCTCACGCAGGACAAGGAGATGCTGTGGAGACTGTGGGGGGGCGCAGGGCGTCGTGAGGCCAGCACTGAAACGTCGAAGAGGTCACCGTACACGGATATCAACATTCTTTGGCCTGCAGCCAAGAACACATCTGCAAAGCCGCAGAACTGGTTCATGTGCGGCCTTTGCAGGAGTGCTTCTCGAGCAACTCTTTCTGAGAGATCCGTCCGACTTGCTTCCGGAAGTCTGCTGGCAGCTTGACTCCTGTGACCGTCTGCTCGTGATGGCGCTGCTGTGCTCCGACAATAAGTCCTACGTATTGCAAGCCACTCCTTTTGGCCGTGGAAGGGGGCGATGCCCACCCTCCGCCGTCAAGTTTCCACCTGTAACCGACCTCAAGGCAGTGCTCACCTCGCCAGCGCTCGCCGGTGCACATCCACTTGATCCAAGAAGCTGCCCGGTTGTAGGATCACTCCTCGGTCCAGGCATGTCGGCTCCAGGCACTCCAACACAACACCAGTCCATGGAACGCTGTTCTCCGGAGTGCTCGTTCACATCCAATCCAGTGCTGCCTGGAGGCTTCTCGTACTGCTTGTAGTCGGGCTGGGCCTTGTTCTTCAACCGTGCCTTAATTGCCGCAAAGATGGCAGCTGCTGGAGCAGCTCAATTCCGCACTCTTCGAGTTTACTCAAGCTTGCCCTGCTTTCTTGCCCGGGAGCATACTGTTCTTGGTAGAAGCTTCTGAACATCTGTTTCTTGAGCTCTCGCTCCTCGTCGCTTCTCTGAGGTTCATGCTTTCAAGGTGTTGGTAATATGGAGCATGAACCCTGAGTGACCTGGTCAGAGATCTGCGTGTGAAGCCACGGGTTCTCCATTTCCTCTCTCTGCTGTTCGGTCATACCTTACCACTCGGATGGAGGAATTACAGATGCTTTCGAGTCTGCCTATGCAGTGAAAACGCCCTGCCGCCTTCCCGAACCTTTTTCTTCATCCTCCTCAGCTCCTCGGCTCGGTCGGTGACGCCAAGACCAGGCACCCAAACTCTTCAGACCAAGCTGCACGTTCAAAGTCCGCGTTCTTCTTGGAGGACGGGCAGAAGTCGTCGAGATCCTGAGGCCGTGACCCAACTCACACGAGTACAGTTCCAAAGCAACAAGGACCGGAGGCACCTGTCCTCGTCGGACGAGGACACCTCCTTCTTCTTCAGCTTGTCGATCCTCCGTCCGAACTCATCGTACTTCCCTGATGCGCCACGGTGTCAACAGACAGTACGCGGTGGGCACCGCAATGGACTGCGTTTTGTCCCTACCATAGATAACCCACCTTCCTTTTTGGACTTTGCTTTTGCCTTCACCTTCGCCTTTGCTTTGGGCTTCACGACTTTCCTTGGCATGTTCAGTGCTTTGCTCGAGGAAAGCTCGAGCCCAATGCAGACCAACGGCTGCAAGTTTTCTCTCACTCTCGCTCTCGACATCTCACGAATTCTACCAGGACTCCCTTCCTTGGATTCCTCTCGAGCAACAGCAAGTCCGGACAGGTGCACTTCATCACCATCGCGGGAGAAAGTGAAGGTGATCCTCACGGCCGGCGGCAATAACACGCACGCACAGACCTAGAGCGGGGTAGAGAGAGAGAGAGAGAGAGAGAGAGAGAGAGAGAGAGTGAGTGAGAGAGAGAGAGTGAGAGTGAGAGAGGGTGAGCGAGGGAGGGAGCGACAGGGTGAGCGAGGGAGCGAGGGAGGGAGCGAGGGAGGGAGCGAGGGAGGGAGGGACGTACCCAGTGCGCGGCCAGGGGTCTTCCCGGTCTTGTCCGCTCGTACCTTGCCTGAGGCAGTCGCCTCAGCACGGAGGAGCAGGGGATTCAGAGACTTCAGGGTAACTAGGCCGTGCCGTGCCTCCGTGGAGCTACTCGCAACGGTGCTGCTTTGAGGCTCGCCATTCACTGTCAGGCCTTAGGCGACGCCAGTGATTGTGTTTGCGCTGAGAATATCCCCGCCCGGGGCACCCTAAGGCAAGCACCGTTGGCACTGCCGTAGAGCTTCGCGACCTGGTACACCTGACCGGCAACGACACGCGGTGCTCAGCAACATCCGCACACCTGGTTAACTTTTGTTCACAGACAAGCTCATCCACCAACCACCAACGGAGCATTGCGATCTTGGGGGCGCTACACACCAGATCCAAGTACCGAGCGTTGTGGGCAGGGTCGCCACATGTGCACGTGCATGTATGTGAGTGTGAGTGTGTGCACATGTGCGGAGGTGGAGGTGGGTGTGCGTCTCCAGCGCCAAACAGGGTGACCGAGATGCTTTCTGATAACAAGAGCTTCCCATAAATAAGGGGACCAGCCGCACCCCGAAATCGACTCACAAGCAACCGCTCGAGACACCCATAAGTGGCACATCAAAACCAGCCGTTCCCCACGTTGACGCTCGATTCCACAAGCACCTGCCTGAGACACAAGTCTCATCACGACAACACATCAAACCAGCCATTCCCCATGTACGCCCTCAATTTCGCAAGGCAGGATCAGGAGCAGGCGAAGGAGCAGTAGCAGCACTTGCTGCAGCACTTGTAGCAGTAGGGAGCACGGACAGAAGCAGGAGAAGTGCAGCAGGAGCAGTAGCAGCACTTGCAGAAGTACTTTTTCCAGTAGCACGAGCAAGGGCAGGGCAGGAGCAGCAGCAGCAGCAGCCGTAGCAAGCGTGGCAGCAGTCGCCGTAGCAGCTGTAGCCGTAGAGTAGTAGTAGAGTAGTAGCAGTAGTAGTAGTAGTAGTAGTAGTAGCAGCAGCAGGAGTAGTAGTAGTAGTAGTAGTAGCAGCAGTCGTAGTAGCAGCCGTAGTCGTCGTTGTAGCCGTAGTAGTAGTTACA